GGTAGCACCGTTAACAAACCTAAAAATTTTACCCTTCGGTGGCTAAATAATACGGTGGCACGTGCCACCCATGCCAACCAAGTAGGTCCGCCCATGCACCAGATTAAGTAATCTGTTGGTAAGGTTGTCCGTCAGTAACCCGTCGGTAACAGCGTCCATCGGATAAGGTTGCCATCGATAATCTATCGGTAATATCCGGTGATGCCTTTTCCCACGGTCTTTTTATCGACAAACTTTTACCAATAGATCACCGATGGATTGAAATATTACCGACATGTTTTTCCGTCAGTAAAAATCATTTGTTTATAGTGATATATTTACATACTAAGTTATATACATATACATATACAAATAGTAAAGCTCATATCATATGGATACAAAACACATGAAAATATACAAAAAATAATAAAAAGCCGTCGGAGATCCACGTCCGATCACCAACCGACCGCCGTATTAAAAACCATAGTTCCTCCCACTCGTTTTACGTTAAAATGTCGCCTTTTTTTATTTAAGAAAAGAATTAGAAAAAAAGTATTATAATTTTCAGTTTTTTAATTAATATTCCACGCGTATTATGGACGGATATAATATTACTATCGTCGCAAAAATTTATCAGTCCTAACGAATTTTTGCATATATTTTCTAGTAATTCGTTTATATTTGGGTTGACTCTTTAGACTTTAGATTTAATTTGTTTTTTTTTTTTAAATCGAACGGGTGTATTATTAATTAGATATTTAATCCAACTAAACTAGTAGAAGAGATTTAGAACGTGCATTGTACCACATGTACTGATAAACGCAAAAGCATTAAAGTAATGTCGTAATCCAGATCCATCATGTATACCACAGCCACAGAACCAGCAATCTAATTCTCTGGATACTTGTTATTTGAAAATTACTGATTATAATCACCACCATCGGTAATGAATCACTCTCTCCTTCCACTTAAAATCATAGCTGGTTCCATCTCAATTATCACCGGATCTCTACAAAGCTTCCCGATCTCCTCCGCCGGCAAAGTCACCGTCACCGTTCTCGCCACTCCCCCCTCCGCCGAAGGTCCCACCACGATCAACCCTTCTCCCTCTACTTTGCCCACATGGTAACTCACGTGCACCGGTTTCTCGTTGTTCCGAAACTTTGCCTCGTAAACGAGCGACTCAAATTCGCCTTTTGGTTCGTCTTTCGGGATCATCAGATGCTCCAAGCTTACACATGTTAAACTTGGGCCGTACATTTGAACCGGTTTCGGATACATACCGTTCAGTTCATTTCGACAAGTCTCGAGCCAATCGACCGTTGAAAGAATGTCATCTTTCTTGATCCCCGTCACGTGGCGGTGTACCGATTCCACGGCTTCTGCTAGACCGCTATCGCCAGTTAACATCTCGTTTTCTAGTGACAATTGCGAGAAACTTATAGCGTTTCCGAAGAACTTATTTGGTATTGGTACATCAAGAAGTTTGCGGGCATCAATGCATAACGAGATGGATTGTATAGGCGAAGGCGAAGCCGGAGTTTTAAGCTTGATAATTCGCGACCAAAATAACGTCGTGAGGTAATCAAAAGGTGTGGCATTGGGGCATTTATCGGCGATCTCAGAAAGGAGTTTCTCGATCATTTTGTTGGAAAATTTGAAGGTGGATGTTGCCATTTTCATAGGTGGATCAGTTGGTACTAGTTTCGAATGTCTTTGCAGGTATTTAGTGGTGGTACAAGTGTTTCCGTTGGTGGTAGCAGGCGCTGGTCGGCTGTCAAGTAGCGGTAGATTGAAAACTGGTGGGTTGTTTCCGATGGTTTCACCGCGTTCGGCATCGGTCCATGCTTTATAAAACTGGGTCGCAGCTGTTGGGTCAGCCAGTAGATGGGTGAAGCTCAGTCCAACTGCTAGCCCCCCTCCTACAAACTCACTAATCTGCAAGTATAATGGGTACATAATGTACAGAATTAAACGAATTAGGGTATAATGTTGATAAAACTAAAGTCAGAGGACCATAAGTGTAAAATCAAACCTGGATTTGAAAAGGCGACCATGAAGTAGGGTCACCATCCGGCATGTCTTCCCACACCGTTAAATTCCTTTCATCAGATTCATCAGCAAATCCCAGCCATTCATCAACCGTGACCCCTACCTCCGCTTTAAACATCCTAACCCCAGCATCATTATACTTAACTAGCCAGTTACCGTGACCATCATGGCCACGAACCAACCGGCCGGTTATTCGGGGGTACTCGGATAAAAGTTCCGCAAGAGAAACGCGAAAATTATCCAAGTCCATTGAGAACCGTCCCTTTGGAAGAAATGGACTGGTCCGATAGTAAAAGATAATATGACCCGTATGGCTGCCCATGATATGGTCGATTGGGCTCAGACCGCAAGCCAAACCCATTGGCTCAGTTGGGGTGCTCGACACCACTGTGAGCCGCGAGTGGACATTAACCTGTTCTCGGCTCTTCTCCATGACCGCCGTCTTCATATTTTCGAGAATAAAAACAGATATAAAAGATGAATTGTAGCGAATATGTGTTTATAGGGAGATTATGATTGAAAAGGGGTATTTATATTTGGAAAATAATGGAAGGATAAGTTAGGTTAAGGGTGTTAGTTGGGTTCATTAAATAGGTGTTTGGCTAAAAAGGCAACTACCACACTGCACCAAGTAGGGCTCTTGAACCAATAAAATGATCATAAATTGGAGTTCAGGTTTTCAGGGCCCCCTTAACAATTCTCCTACATATGTACATGCTACGTTAATTAATAGAGACTCCAAATGGGTAAATTGGTAATTAACCTCCTCAATTGAAGAGGACTCATCTATGATATTGGTACGAACAGACATGACTCTAATATTCGATAAACTTGATGAAACATAACCAATGAGAATTAAAATATAAATATTTTAATATAAACACTAAACCTTAAACCAAAAGATAAGAATGATGTGTGAGTTTATTTGTTTTATTTGCCGTATATAAATATTATATACTTAAAAAAAAATGTATTTTCAAAAGTTTTTAGAATTAACATTTATCGTGGAACCGGAGAGAGTTTTGTTCGGTTCAAAGATATTTGATGATGCATGCACTCAAACTTACGATTGAGATAAACAGTTTTACAGTGTTCTATAAATTTGATTATGATTTTAATAATTTCAATCATATATTTCCTTAAATTCGTTTTGGGGAACGAAAATGGTTTTTTTTTCTCCGATCATATTGAGGAACATGAATTTGATCATTGATACATTTAATTAGAAGTTTTGTTCCAAATGAAGCCTTTGAAATTTGATTCTCCAAAAAAAATTGAAAACCAAGTTGGTAAATTTTAGTGTAATTTGTTCATGTTTTCTAATTTGAGTATATAATGATTTGAATCTTTATAAAAACTCACTTTTTGTAAACGTAAGGAAAAATCTTGGTTATATATCAAAATTTAGAAAATTAATCAACGGTTAAAACATAAAATAGTTAATTAAGAAGTGATTATAGGTAAAAATGGAAGTTAGGATTCAGGCCAACCTTATTTTTTTTAATTAATTTTTTATCTTCTTAATTTTTAAACTAAATTATCTTAAGAATAATTAATAGTTTAATCTAACAAATTACATCAAAAAATCGAGCATTTCATTTTCTTCGATTTGACATCCATTTCGATATAGTTTTTTTTATATGTTTTAAAGTTTTTTTTATGTTAAATAGTATATCTTTGTAATATTGATTATAAATATTTTTGCACGTTTATACAGTTACAACAACTCTTTAATATTCATACATTAGTACGATATTCATCATGAATATACAACTTACTATAATATTCATCATGAATAGTTATGTATTTTCATTTGTATTCAACAAATATTCAATATTCATACATCACTATGACTTTCATCATCAGTATACATCTTCATTATAACATTCATCATGAATATAAATAGTATTCATCATGAATATATGTTTTCTTTATAATATTCGTAATGAATATATATATATATATATATGTGTGTGTGTGTGTGTGTGAGTGTGTTTTCACGTGTAATATTATAACTTTTCAGTATTCATATATCAATATGATACATACTATTAATCATGAATATTTATATATGTTCATGTGTATAGAACAACTTTTCAACATTCATACAACAATATGATTGTTGATCCTCTCTCTCATTGATTTGTTGATAATCCCTTTTTCCTTTCGATGTATTTATGTATCTGTA